ATTCTAATAACTGGATTTGATGCAGAATTTTCTCCTTTTAGTACTGGTATACTAAAGAGAAATCTAGGGCGAATTAGAATTGATTTTGTATGAGCCAGTCAGAATTGAACTCCTGGCTGTGGGCAGAGTTAACCAGGAGTACTGCATTCTAACCACACTGTGCCAGCACAACTGTTACAGCTGTTACTGCTGGCACCGCTATGATTCCTAGAGACACTGCTAACTTTAGGTGTACCTTAAGCCCATTATGAATTAGTTGGGTTCAGATGCAATGAACCATTACTTTCTTGCTAAGGGTCAATTCTCACTAAGGTAATCAAGTTGAATGTTGCAGCAGGAGTAGGAAGAGTAGGAATAAGAAGAGTATTATTTTGACTTTGTTCTTCTGGACTTCAAGAATTAGCTTCAGACCAATCTCCAGGACACCTGCTAACTGATTAAGAAAACCTTTAGGAGATACAAGGTAACTTGAAGGAGGTAAGGATCCAAGAGATTTAATAAGGTCTGAGGGATTCTTAAAATTGGATGCTTTGGCTAGAACAACCAGATATACTTTCTGATTTTTAAAGAAAACATTGTGTTTTTTCTCCTGATAACTGGGAAGATCATATCTGTTAACTTTACTAAAGTATGTTATAAAGCAATGGGACATCCTTATAATAGGTAGGTTAAATCAGGTTTGCTTTCTGGGTTAAAACCAGGTTCTTATTTAAATGGGCAAAGTAGTGTTTTTCCTCAGAAACCCAAAGTAGATGCCACTGACCACTCCACAACCATTTCATGTGATTAGTTTGGCATTGTCTACACATTATTAGAATTCTGTACCTGACTAGAGAGTATCCAGGTACAAAATGAACTTGGTGAAGCGAACAGAAAAACATTAGCCAATGTTTGATCAATATTTTGTACTGCTCTGTATTGATCCTTCAATTATATAAGACCTTTACCATGGCAACAGATGGATCTGATTACGAGGTAAAGAATGTCTTAGAGTAGAGGATGCCCACACTTATCTAATCAGCAAGAGGTGAATAATAAAGAAACTGAAGAAAAAAGGATTTCGTCACCTGCACTTCAGTTTATACTAGCTCACAGGTTTAAAATCTATGTTGTTGCCATGGGTGGGTGCTGGTTTTTTTTCTATATTGTGTTTTTATTGTTTATAAGCCACCTATAGTTGCTGTGAGCTAGTAGGCAGCTATTTACTTTTTTAAAAATAAATAAAATCTGTTTAGGGTGAATAGGGGACCTTGCTAATGGTCTAAAGCTACAACCGTTTCAGTGTTTCCTCTGTGGTACAATCTGTATTATATGGGAGATTTTCTATATTTAGCAACTTTTAATGTATACACTTGATTTTAGCTGATAGGGTCTAGGGAATTTTTAGTTTGTTTCTATTTCCAAAAACATCTTGATTTTAGTTATATTTTGAGCAGTGGTGGGTTGCTACCAGCATTACTACCAGTTCGCTGAGAGCGTACCAGACGCGTGCTGCACGTCTTTGCGCAATTAAATAAAAATTACTCAGAAAAAAAGGAAAACAGCTGAGAAGCGGCATTTTAATCTGCCTCCCCGGATCACCTGGGCTTCAGAAGCTGAAATAAAGGTAGGTATAACCCAGGGGCGGGTGGGCAGGGACATTTTCAAAGGAACATAGAACCGGTTCGCTCTTTGTTTGAAGGCAGCACTACCAGTTCGGTAGAACCGGTCAGAACCGGTAGGAATCCACCTCTGATTTTGAGATTAGATTATCCAGTTTAATGTAGTATGAGATTTTTGGCGGATTGCTTTTGGCTTTGTTTTTGTTGGAGTTTTATTTTTGGTAGTTAAGTTTCTTGTGTTATCAGATAAAGTAAAGCATAACATTTCAATACATAAAAAGAGAAAGTAAAATGTCTAAAAGTTATGAAAGGATATAGAAGACTTTCCCTTTCTGCCAAAGAGTGCAAAATTTAGAGCAGCTGCTAGAATATATAAAAAAAACTGCTAACATTTCAAAAAAAGAGACTTCACCCAAATATTTCTTAAAAATAAACTGTTGTTTATAGTTTTACTAGATCTGTTTTTCATCTTTCTAGAAAAAAGAGCTCAAGATAGCTTGATGGAACATGCAGGAAAAGTCCATTGAGATGATTCCTAAAATATGTACTACCACATTGTCCAAGACTTCCCCAGACAACTCCCAACAAACCTAAATGAACCATCCCAGCCTCTTCATTTGGAAGATGCAGACATATTTTAGGCACATATACTTGATATACTAAGCTGATCACACAATCCAAATAACTTTTTCGATACACTTTTTTACACAATATTGCACAACTGCCTTGCATTTCAAAGGGGATCTCAATCTCTTTCCTCCCTCTCATTTTATCCCTCATTCCCCCAGTATTGGGGTGAATGGTGGAGTAGATGGTTCAAACATCTACTCCTTATAAATAAAATTGGCTGTCCTACTTTATTTGGAATGAGATATTTTTGAACAAAAACTAAAAGCAGAATCAAAAGGATACAGCAGAGAGAAAGAACTTACAGTCCTCCAATGGTTGGAATGCAACCCCAATCAGCACAGCTGATGTTCAGGAATGATAGAGGATATAATTCCATGCTTACTGTAGAACTAACCTTCTCTGCTTCATTATAGTAGATAGTAAATGAAACATCACTTATGTTAAATTTTGATCCAATGCACTATAGTCTTATCTGTTCTAGACAGGATCTATGAAGATTATAACTATGCCAGCAGAATTATGTATTTCATCATCTTTTAGCCCAAAGAAATTCACTTTGCAGCTTCCATATAATAAATAGATTTTTAACATGCAGTCTTTGAAATAATAATTTAATTTGGTATGATTGGAAAAGTGTACATAATATTGTCAGGAATGCATTCATCTGTTTATTCAATTGTGTAAAAGCCAAGAACCATACATGCTGTTTTATCAACATTATCTTTATACTGGAGAGTCAAAATGCCATGTTAAGATTGCTAGGAAAGTGATGCATTGGTTTACTTCAAAGGTACAATATCAGTTTTTCTGAATCTGCAATGAAACAAACAAACAAACAAACAAACATACATAGTATACCTGTTTTACAGGTAGTCCTCGACTTACAACCAAAATTGAGCCCAGGATTTCTGTTGCTAAGTGAAACATTTGTTAAGTGAATTTTGCCCTATTTTACGCCTTTCTTGCTACTGTTGTTAAGTAAATCACTGCATTTGTTAAATTAATAACATAGTTAAGTGAATCTGGCATTTCCATTGTGTTTCCATGTCAGGTGGTTGCAAAAGGTGATCACATGACCCCGGGACGGGACACTGCAATCTTCATAAATATGAACTCGTTGCCAAGCATTCAAATTTTGATCATGTGACTGTGGGAATGCTGCAATGGTTGTAAGAGTGAAAAACAGTCCTAAGTCGCTGTTTCAGTGCTGTTGTAACTTCAGTCACTATATGAACTCTTCTAAGTTGAAAACTACCTGTATTCTATTTTACTATCTTTGCTAGTGTCAGAAATACCTGGAGATTTTGATGTCCATCTTTTTGGATTCAGTCATACTCCATTACTATGCTTTGCAGCATAGGATATTTTATACATTAAAACCTAAAGCAGTATGATTAATAAGCCATTCAATTCTTTGCTTAATATTGTCCTGCAGCACTACCCGTTAAAACCTCCAAGCAATTTTCCCTGCTAAGGGTCACTAGTGGCCTTCCATTTTTTTAAAGGAGCTGTAGCAATTGGAAAAAGACTATGCTATGTTTGCAAGACCCATAGTGGCAGGTGGCAATCACAGCTAGGAGAGCCTTTGCACAACTTATTGTATGCCAATTGCAGTCTCTCCTGGATCAGGAGTCCCTGAGCTCAGCCATTTAAGCTCATCTTACAGCTGGACTACTGTAATGCGCTCTACATGGGGCTACCCTTGAAGAGCTTTTGGAAGGTACAGCTGGTGCAGTGTGCAGTTGTGTTTGAAACAGTATTTTCCTTAAGTAGACAATCACCAGTCAGCATTTTCATTCATTTTTGGCTTTCAGAATGGCCCATTCCCCTTTTTATTTTTCTTACTCCTACCTAGCCCATGATTACCAACACCTAGGAGAACATTTTCTTTCTGGCATTGCATTCATTCAGAAAACTGGTCAAATTTTCTCAGAACTCCTTCTATGATTATCACAATTCACTGGAGCCTATCATGTAAATTTTTCTAACCTATAGATTTCACTTTCATATACACCCATAACAGCCTAGATAAACCCATCTACTTGTCACATGACATATTTTAACTAGAAGCACCAAAAGTCCATTTTTGCCCCAAGTGTGTTTATGTTACTTTATGCAAGCTAAGATCTCTACTGTGGAGACAAACTTGCAAGGCAATATACTGCTACTGATATCTAGCCAGTTAAGAAATCCATGAAGTGTATTGACTCTCAAGATGTATCTAATTAAATTCTGACAATATTTACAAGCACATGCAAATTATATAAAACCAATAATTATATATCCAGCTAAATAAAAATCTGAATCTGAATGATGGTTTGGGTCTACTGATGTTCAAGATGGGGCACTCCAAAGATGATGATTTCTCACAATTTCCATAAATAAGAAACCCAAGTTTTCCATCAACATACTCACTAGACACTGCAGTACAGGCAAATTCTTTGATGGATATTTATATGATGAGTGGGGGTTTTGTGAGAGCTATATGCATTACATGTAATTTGTAAAGTCAAATTTAACATACTAAAACTCTAAGCATGGAAATCGCATACAAAAATAAGGAGCTATGAGCCATTTGGCTGGCTAAATATTCAGGTTTGGACTTTGGCTATTACAGACATCTCTTGAATGTATTATACGTTCTGTAAAACCATTCAATCTGTTGGTACAATAAGTATGGGGCTGGGATATACAGCACTGGGAAGCTTTGAACAACATTGCCAAACCCAGGTCTGATACAAAATATAATAGAAGAAAATAGTTACTAACCTGTACATTCATGCTGTAGTCCTTTGCCATAGTATCCCTTTTCACAGATACACTCAAAGTGTCCTGTGTGAGTACCACACTTGCAGCTTGCCATGGTATCACAACAATTTTCAGTCCCCTCACAAAGATAGGAGCAGTATGCTATATCTTCCTGAATGTAACTTCCAGAAGGCAAGTCTGTAATTAGGACATTTGGGAGGACAGGATAGGGGTTCCAAATAAATAAGCAAATAAATAGTTAGAGACATCTATTCATTTAAAGTTTTTTTAAATTGACATTTCATTGAAATGCAAAAGTAAGCTAAATCCCCATAGGTAAAATTACTGAAACAATGCTAATTATTTTAAAATCCATTTATCTTTCCTGTTCAAGCAGATATTGATGAGAATAAGAGATCAATTAATTTCCAATGATAGTTCTGCTCCATTTCATTAACACTTGGAAATCTGCATTTGCGAATTAATTTCCATGGATACAATGTTCTTTTTATTCTTCTATGCAAACGTTATTATAATAAAACTGAGATACAGAAGTCCTCTCATTGAAACGTTATTGTATCTATCTAGAAAGCAACGTTCTATTCTTAAAAGATGGAAAACAATTGAGGCATTTTAATGATTTTGTTCTGCAAAAGCCACATTGTATTCCTTCATTAAACTATACATTTTAATATTTTGTTTTATCTGACATTACCCAGTAAATTAATCAAGTAAAGTCTCTTGAACATATGGTTAAAATGAGTTCTGTAGACTTTAATACTGTGCAAACATTTATTGTCTAATCAAGATATTCAAAGAGAAAGTTCCAAAAGTATCTGACTTTTTGCATTTTATAAAATTTTCAGGTTTTGTATTTATAAAATGCAATTCATTTTTTTACAATTCTGAAAACTTACACAAGTTTAAAAATATATCTGGTATAGTTGGTTTATTCAATGTAGAAATATTGTATATTGAGTAAAGGAGGAAGCATGATTTAATGTGTTGTTTAAGTGGTAAGACATAGAGGCAAAATAAAGTGAATGGATTATTCAGAACTACAAAAATAAGGTATCGTGAAAACTTCATTTTTACTATAGGAGATTAGGGTGATTGGTCACAAATATTCTTCTTGAACCTGCCACACACACACACGATATTCCCATGTGTATTGAAAGACATTTAATTACAATCAGAAGAATTATTTTAAAATCAAAATGAACACCTTACTTTAAAAATAACTATAATAGCATTTGGGCAAAGGATAAGGTTGAGTTTCACAATGTTATGCTTGCATAATGAATATCTTCCAGTTAATCTATTACAGGTAAGCCTCGACTTGTAACAGTTCATTTAGTGACCGTTCATAGTAACAATGGCATAAAAGTGACTTCTGACCATTTTTCACACTTACAACACTGCAGTATCTCCATGGCCACATGATTAAAATTTGGACACTTGGCGTATTTATGACGGTTGCAGTGTTCCACGGTCAAATGATTCCCTTTTGCGACCTTCTGACAAGCGAAGTCTATGGGAAAGCCAGATTCACTTAACAACCATATTACTAACTTAAGAACTGCAGTGATTTCTGAACAGCTGTGGCAAGAAAGGTTGTAAAATGGGGCAAAACTCACTTAACAACTGTATTGCTGAGCAATAGAAATGTCAGGATCAATCATGGCCGTAAGTCGAGGACTACCTGTACAGGAGTATAGGCTATATATTTCAAATTCAGATTATATATTATCCCCAAACTTGAAAGCACACAGATAATCAAAGCCAGACCTAGATCCAATACCTTCATGGAGAGCTCTGCGTGCTAAAGCTTCAAACTCTGCAAAACTGTGGAGCAAGTAACAGTGTTCCTCCTTTGGGTGAGAAGCCATGTCATTCAGCTCTCTGATATTGCCTTGCCATATCCCAAATGTGAAGATTTCTACTCCAAAGTCACGCAAAGATGCTGCAACGGGACGAGGATCCCCTCCATTGGAATATCCATCCGTAATCAAAAATATTACTTTGGTAGCATTTACGCGGGAGTGAACCAATATTTGCTAGAAAAAGAAGAAGAAGAAAAAAGGGGAGGGCAGGGAAAAATCAAGAACTATCAAGTTGGTGACCTGTTCATGGGTTTTTCTGCCAACATCCGCTCTCTTTTTTTATACAATTTTGTTTTTGGAAGGACTACTGTAAGATCCAACATTTCTGAGAGAAACAGAGTATAATACAGAATGGAATAATACTTTTTGGATAGTGGTGAAAGCTCCCCACCCCGCACTCCCAATCACTGGTGGTGGTCTACTCCTTTCCCTTTTCTGATCATACCACAGCGGGGCAATAATACAAAATCGTTTGACACTGCCTTTGTTGGAAATGTTTTTTTTTTTCTCCTTAGTTTCCACTACAGCTTATACAGTTCTGGTGATTTACCCATTTAAGCTAAATATATTCAAATGATTTAACATTTAAAGACCAAGTTATACATATTTCAAGTTACAGCAAGCTTTTACAAATTATTTCTAAAGGAAAATATTATCCAATTTCTTCACTTCCACTGTTCTTCCTGGAAGGCTCTTGTGACACATAACATATATTTGGACCCATGGGGATGGTGGGTAACCAAAATGGCAGTGATATGGGGCAAACAGGCAGGTGGGGAGAATTGAAGGCAGCCTCTTGCCTTGGGGCTGGGAGGGACCAAGCTGGGAATGGCTTGAATTAGGGTAGGTGCTTGCTTAACAGTCATATAGGACTCCCAATGACAGCAACATGGACTAGCCAAATTGCAATCATTTAAGCCAAGAGTGAAATCCACTTACCTTTGCTATCGGTTCGGTAGCAATGTGAGCACACGGAGGACTTCCTCTGCGCATGCGCAGGCCCTCCCGCACATGCGCAGAGCGTCAAAAGGGTAGAGTCTCCTGCTTGGGCAGCGGGTTGGAGTAGATGACCTGCAAGGTCCTTCCAACTCTGTTAATCTGGTTTCATTTATTTTACTACCGGTTCGGGCGAACCAGTAGTATTTTTACTACTGGTTTGGGTGAACCAGTCTGAACCGGTAGCATTTCACCCCTGATTTAAGGGCAGCAATCATGTGATATTTCATTTAACAACTATTTTGTTTAGCAATGGAGTTGCTAGTTCCACTGCTAAGTGATCATTAAGAGAGGACTACCTGTACATTTAATTTTCTTATATGATGGATAGCCAGCTATATAAATTTGAATAATAAAGTAAAATAAATAAATTACCAAAGAAACTTTTCTTCTTTTCTTTTCCAAATTATTTCTATATTCACACTCTTTCTGTCAGCTTTTTTTGTCCTACTGCTGTTTCTTAAGAACAAGCATTTTTTTCTGTAGAAATCATACAGAATTACATATTACTTTATTTTTCATTTGATATAAGTTTTAGGTTAGGCAAATAAGCTTTGAATATTGGTTAAATATGCATTTTACTAAATTTAATTTGATTTAAATAAAAACTAAAAACTGTAACCTATCAAACTACTCCTGTTTTTAAAAAGGAGTAAATTTAATCATGTAGCAATGCTTAACGATTGTGAAGGTTTGAGGTTAAACATGCCTGAATCAGTTTTGTGCTTATTCAACAATGTATATATACATCTCTCTCTCTAAGAGATTTATTGGAAGTTTTAATAGGTATGAGCAGGGATATTTTGGAGAAGATACTTCATGTTAAACATGATTGCCAAAATCTACACATAAGAAGAATGGAGAAAGAGCTTCAAAATGCTTGAGCCTCCTTCATACATGGAATAAAATATAGTTTGCCTTTTTTTTAAAAAGCAGCAACCATTTCAACTGTATTAGGATTTATCTCAAACTTTCGTTGGTTTCTAATCTCAAAATGTTAGGAAACTGTACTTTCAATTGTAACAGCCATAGCCATAGGAGGTTCTGAGGGGTGTAAGGAAATTTGGCATTGTCTCTGCAGTCATAATTTAGTTATCCTAAATTTTAACTGCAAAATAAAGAGATATATTACAATTATTTAAACATGCAGAATGCTGTATTTACCAGACAAGTTTTCAAATAGATCAAGATGTTTTTATACCATTCAAATTGGTCAGAAGTAGTCTTTGGAGAGGGGACTTTCCTGATATAACTCAGTTAGTGTATAAAGAATTTAGTTATTAAATAAGAATGCATTCCCTACTTCTTGACTGTCAGTATACGTACTGAAATTGTTGGTGGGATGAAATTACTTAGGGACTATTCCCCCCTCCCCTCAAAATGCTGTTTTCTTCAAAAACAGTTGAACAACATTTTTTGTAACTTGTAGTGTCTGCTTCTTTGGTGGTACTGCAAATTGTAGGAAGTAAATAATTTAGGAGAGAATCTCTTCATAGGCAAGGCCATGGTGGAGAGTAGAGTAAAGGAAATAAGATCATGGAAATGTGCAAGAAGCTTAGAAAGTAAGAACAAATATCTGAAGAAAGATATCACACACTGAGTACATTTTTGCACAGTAGAATTATTGCATGAGGCAAAAAGCCTGATCTACGACATGAGCAGGTGATATAAAGCAAGTTAGAGTAATCAAAATCACAGATGATTTTACACTTGAACCAGAGGACACATTCACATGGTTTAGAATGCTAAAATGTTTTAGGTTTTTACTAGTTAGTAAAGGTAGAAACTATAGTCAGAAAATAAGCCTACATAAACTCTAAAGCAAATAATATGCTCAGCTGTAGGGAATAGCAAAATACTTAGCAATAGCACTTAGACTTATATACCGCTTCACAGTGCTTTACAGCCCTCTCTAAGCGGTTTACAGAATCAGCATATTGCCCACAACAATCTGGGTCCTCATTTTACCAACCTCAGAAGGATGGAAGCAGTGGTGAAATTCTAATTTTTTTTACTAATGGTTCTATGGGCATGGCTTGGTGGTGGGGTCCTGGGACTGAGTGAGCATGGCCAACTCGATGTCACTCATGGCCATGCCCACTTAGTCACATGTCACCACCATCACCAAGCCACACCCACAGAACCCAGTAGGAAAAAAATGTGTGTATGAGTCCATTCACAGCGGAGCTGCTGCTCCCTTTATGGTCCCTCCCGTCCCCCTCCCTCCCGGGGGTTGAAGTACCTTAAAGGGACAGTTGCCGCAGCTCTGCTGTGAATGGAGGGAGAAATGTTTGGATTGTCTCTGCTGCATTTAACCTTGCATTCTGTGGCAGAGACAATCTGAACAATTTCCCCTCCATTCACAGCAGAGCTGCTCCCTTTATGGTCCCCCCTCAGCTCCCTCCCTCCCTGGATATACCTTAAAGGGACAGGCTGCAGCAGCTCTGCTGTGAACGGAGGGAGAAACATTGAGATTGGGTGGGTGGGTGGAGCGGCAGGAAGAGGTGAGCAGTGATAGGGCAACCAGGTAGGCATGGGCGGGGCCACCAAAGATTTTGCCACCGGTTCGGAGAACTGATGCCAATTGTCCCTACTGGTTTGGTAGTTTGATAGTTTGAGCCTGGTGAGATTCAATCTACCAAACTGCTGGCAGCTGGCAAGCAGCAGAAGTAGCCTGCAGTACTACATTCTAACCACTGCATCACCGCAGCTCAGAATAGATAGGATGTATGATACAAGGAATTTATAATAAATTATGAAACTGATTGAGTATATCATCTAAAAGTGTCCATCAACAAAGGACGGAAAGGACTAGAAAATGAGCAATTTATCCCATGGATAAATTATTACCCATCAAGCACATAAGAAAGGGTTTATTGAGAATGATTATTCTGAGGAAAAGAAAAACATGTCCACAATAAAAAAAACATGCACGCTTACAATATTCTGGCTAAGAGACACTTTTTAAAATATATATTAAACTGAACCAAGTGGGAAAAATATACTTTTGTGGCTGGCTGCTTCCAATGTGATAATATTAACATATGAACATATTAAAAATGATTACCAGAGTTTTATGAATAAATCAAACCAATAAGTACCATATTTTTTGAAATATAAGACGCACCAAGATTTTGAAGAGGTAAATTAAAAAAAAAATGTACTCTGCAGATTTCCCAAACCTTCTGCATGCCTCATTTTTTGTGAAAAACGGGGCATGCAGAAAGTTTGTGGGGCCTGTAAAGTGCTCCTGGGGGTTGCCCCCCCCCAAAAAAAAACGAGCAAAAAGGCTTATTTTTTTGCAAAAATGGGCCTGGTTTTTGCTTTAAAAAGGGCATGCATAGCCTTTAGGAGGCTTGTAGAGTGCTCCTGGGGGCTGGGGCAGATTCTTGCCCTCCTCAGCCCCCAGGAGCACTCTACAAACCTCCTAAAGGCTATGCACATCCATTTTTGTGAAGGGGGCATCTTATACACTGAATACACTGCTGTACTCAGTGTATAAGACGCACCCACATTTTTCACTCTTTTTTGGGGGGAAAGGTGTATCTTATACTCCAAAAATATGGTAACAAATAATTCCTATGAATTTTTGCTCATGCACTATATCCTCTTTGGCCCAAGGTTTTCAGTCCTATGGAAGATAAAGAGAGTGGCAAATGAGAAAAAACGAGGTGGAGGGGCTTCAGTAAGGATTTTTACTGGAGTTGGCCATTTACATAGATAAGATAGGGAATCTGGTCACTGCGAAAAAATTACGGGCATTTCTACTTTTTTCTTTATTTGATTTTCCTTTTTGGTTGAACCATCTTAAATTTACAGTTCTATTTCTTTCTGAAGTATAAGGTACTTAAAATGCTGAAGCAATGTTTAAAATTTCCTTCAAATTCTTCTTAGACAGTCATCTCTTTTACAATTAATTAACCATGCAATTAAGTTCCTCTATCATCATGTAATTGATTAACCTGTCAGGACAAAGTATGTTTTTTCAGTAAATATTTCTCTTAACCAAAATGGAAAAGCTGAAGTATTTTCCTTTCTAGTGCCACTTAAAAAGATAACTAATTGCAGTTGTCTTTAGCTGGACCACTAAGCAACAATAAAATCAGTGCCTTTGTTTTTTTTATTGTAGAATGTAATTATACTTTCCAGGAAAGATGTGCTAAAATAACTTAGGGGCTCTCCTTGGCCTCTAAAGACAAATTTCTTAAAAATCAAAAACCAATCACTCTACAAATTAAAGTTGTATTTAGAGCAAGGGTGGATAACTGATGATAATGGTATCAGAAAATCACAATTCTGCAGCAAATGTATATATTTAATTAGTAATCAATTATCTTAGCCCCTTTATGTTTCCTGACAAATTTTGACTGAGGTCATTCACATATCCAAATAACATTATCCTTTCTTTCATCTTGTGTGTAAATTTTAACTAAAAGAGCACTGCTATGTGAACTTCTTTCTTCTCCACTGAAGTATTTATAATACTTACATGGCTTCTAGAATTGTGCATGCTTTGAACATTCTTTGGAAGAGATGACTCTTTATAACCTGAGTGACTGAGAAAAAAGCAGCTGCTTTACATGAGTCAACTCATTAAAGGAGCTTTGGCTTTAAAGAGTCACATAAAAAGCAAGTGCATTTTTCTCAGGAATCTGTACAAGACTGAAGCTGTAATCTGGCCTGCAAAAAATGTCTTATTTGGCTAGAAAAACAGTGGAATCTTTCCCATCAAAAAGATAAGCGTAGCTTGAGCTTGAAAATAGAAGACAATGGTGCAATTTTTCATAGGAAGAAAATAAAGATGGTTATTAAAGTGTAAGTTCTTCTATTTCCTCAGTAAATTTGGTATAATAATAGTATTATTTGGTCGGTATATATAGCAAACTTTACAAAACAGCTTTATTATCTTAATTATTTCAATATGCTATTAATGTTACACCTCCCTATACATACTGAGCACATCGGTATGTTATGATAAATGAGGATAATAAAATTACTTTTGAATTGGGATCCTTGGCTTCTTCCTCTCCTCCTAAAACTGAGTCAAAACCTAGTTTGAAAATAATACTACTGTAATGTTTGGTTTTGTTCTGCAAGTCCCTCTGCCAAGAGAAAGCAAGCAGCACACTTGCTCTTTACTTATGCCTAAAACAAGACAATCAATATATAACACCATTAAGAAAACAAATAATTTCTGTTATCATATTTTCCAGGTCTACATATTTCTTTTAATTTGTCTTTATCCAAGCTACAAAATTGCATTTGTTGAAGAAATTCAAACTGCATGGGCAAAAATTGATTTCTGAAAAAGCCTTCTTCTGTGTTCTATCCTGCATGGATGGCATCCTCCCATAAAGTATGAATAAAGCTTAAATAAATTAACTTTCCCTAATCTGAATACAAAATTTTAAACCTAGTTCTCTATTATCTTCTTTCCTGGCATATATAAAAGAATGAAAGAAAGATGGATGTGTGCGTGTGTGTGTGTGTGTGTACGTCCGTGTCCTATAATCAATTTCCCTTCAGGATCAAGGACTACCTATATCCATAATTTGACTCTGGGTCCAGTTCAAACACTGAATTTCAGACCTTAATTTACAGATTCCTGTTTGCTATTTAATTTCTTTATTTTTTTTTATGCCTGGCACATGAGGTCAACACACAAACCCTGCTGTTTAAATAAGAATAGTCAACCAGCATCTATATAAATAGTCCTCCAAAAGTTGCTGAATTCCCATAATTTCTCACAACTGATTGTGCTAGCTAAGCTGATGGAAGCTAAATATCTGTAGGACAATATATGGTTTATCCTGCCAAAGACAATACTGTGTGCAAAGCACTTCAGAATGCATTGACCATATACAAAGCAGTTCAGCACTTGGCAGTAAAGAAGGCGGTACTCAAAACCTCTTGACAATTTTTTTTAAAGCCCTTTTAACCACTTTTATACCCTCCAGTATCCCTTCTGTATCCATATTTATTTCACTCATATTGGTCTGAAACTTGATGGAAGAAACATTTGGGAAAAACATTTCTCTGTGAAGAACAGCTGTGATGGAATGGAATAGACATCCTGTTACATTATGCTGTGGAGAAAATAAATGAAGTTATGTGGTTTGGCTCTGAATATATGAAATAAGGGTCACATTTTATATTTGTGAGGTATCTGAGATCAGAACTTCCAGGATAATTCTCTGAGACTAAAAACATCTGTGAGAAGATTGATTTAGATTAGGACTTTTTCTGTGAAAAGTGGGAGAAAGAGGTGTTTTTCCTAACTAGTTTATGGCCTGCCCCTCAAATGTTATTAATAATCAATCAGAAAAAAATGGATACCTCTATTGTATGTTCTGTGATGAAATAGAGATCTGTCACAACTTACTGGATAATATACTTATTAGTTGCTAAGCTGCCACTGTATTTGCTTTTTTTGCTTCCATACTTAATAGCATACAGGAGATTCTGATTAGGGAAGATGAGTGGAGAGAGTATTTATTATGTTGTCTCTTCTTGTATGATAGGAATTCTGTATAACATCATTAAAAATCACCCAATCCACCATCATTTTTTTTCATTAAAAAAAGAAAAGACACTGAAAAACTACGAACTGCCAATGTCACAGCTTGTTCTACTCAAGTTCTCCTGCAAAAACACTACTTTCTTACAAATGTAAAAATGTATACAAATTTCGTATTTTGCATTATCTGGGATGGCCCATTCAATCCCTTAATGGTGCTGCTGTCAGGAAACCAGATGGGGACAAATCACGTGGCCATCTTTATCCATCTCACAAGTGTCTCTAAAGATGGACTTTTCTGACCCAATTTTCCGAAAATATCAAACATTCAAGATGCAAATAAATATGGTATCCTAGAATGACCATTTTCTTCAAGCTGTAGATCAAGAATACACTGTCAGAATTCCCAAGTATTGATCATGCTGTGTGGAAATTTATTGAGTCTGTCAAGCATGGAAAAAGCTGCTATAGAAAGTTCATGCTTGGTATAGCCCTGCATAACTTTTTGAGCCAAAAGCATTCAGAAGTGGCAGCCAAAATTGGGTTAGGGAAGCCCATGCCATTTTTTTTCAAAGTATTTAATTAGCAAAAACCAGACAGTCGCATGGAAACTGTTAATCTGCAGTTTTAATAGAACATGGATTTATAGCTTTAGTTATTATGTCAAGCTGACTAGATCAAGGCCACAAAAGGAGTACAGGTAGTCCTCGACTTACAACATTTCATTTAGTGACCATTCACTAAAATGACTTGTGACCATTTTTCACTTATGACCATCACAGCATTCCCCATGGTCCTGTGATCAAAATTTGGAAGCTGGGCAACTGGTTCATACTTGCACTGTCCCTGGGTCATTTGAACAACTTTTACAACTTTTTGACAAGCAAAGTCAATGGGGAAACCTGATTCACTTAACAACGGTGGCAAGAAAGGTCGTAAACTGGGGCAAAATTCATTTGACAACTGTCTCACTTAGCAATAGAAAATCTGGCCTCAATTGTGGTGCTAGTAGAGGACTATCTGTAATCAGAACTTGGCAGTGATTGGAACTCAAGTCTTCCTGGGTTCTAGTCCAGCACCGGAACAGGTCTAACGCAGGCCTGAAATAAACTGCGAGTTTTGATCCGGAGCTAGTAAATTAATTACAGATTAACCACAGCCAAACTTACCGCGGCTTGCTGGAAAGCCCCCTTGGTGTAAGTGCCGCCCCCTCGGTAGCCGATGGCCGGGATTTCACGGCTGAGTAGGGCGCACTTGTGCTGCCGCTGCTGCGCCCGCGTGGGAGGCGAGATGTAGTCCACGCGTGGCACCACGTTGTTCTTGGAGGAGAAGGTCACGATGGCCACCCGCGTGGCCGTCGGCACGACCGGGAAGTCGGAGAGCAGCTTCTTGACGAAGCGCAGCTCGCTGAGAAAGTTAGTCTGGCCCACGCTCGACGACTCGTCCACCAAGAAGACCAGTTCCAAGCGGCCGCTCTTCTCCCGCAGCTGCCTCACCTGCCGCTTGAAAGCCCGCCCGAGTTTCTCCACTTTGTTGCCCGCCGCCGCAGGCGATTCCGACAACAACGTCCCGGAGGCGACCGGCTTGAAGGGAGCCGAGAGCGCCGCTAGAGAACTCAAGTTAAAGGGGCGATACAGGCTGCGGGGCTGCGCGGGCGCCCACGCCAGAGCCCCACCGACCCACAAACACAGCCCCGCGAGCCACATCCCTCCGGTCTCGTCCGCCCGTCTACGATGAAGTCCCTTTTCCTCGAGTTTGCTCCCTTCTCCTCTCACGCCCTTTTTCCGACGGCTGGATTTAAGTCTCCCACTCGTTCCTACCGCGGCGCGCACGTGGCGAAGGCTGCGCGCGTTTGCCTCGGTTTGGCGCTTCCCCTCTTAAAAAAATTATTCTCCTTTCGCCGCCGCCGCCCCCCCCTCGCAAGCCCTTCCCCGCAGCGCTCGAAAGGCAAAAAAAGGGGGGAGATATGAGTGTCTCTGAACCTCCCTTCTCTCCGCTACTCCCCCCCACCTCCGGTTCTCTTCCTCGCTCGGCCGAAGTTGTTGCTGCCTGAGATTCCTTGTCACCAGAGCCCCGCCGGTGTCTGCCAGGCTGTCAACATTCCCAACGCAAACACATCGGCACCGAGGCTTAAGCTCTGATTGATCCCATATGTCTGGCAGGCAGCACCGGACGGAGAAAAGGGAGGGGACGCGAGAAAGGGGACGGGGCTGGTGGGGGGGAAGAGAAGGCCCGCGACTCGATGGATGGATCCAGATACCAGGAGGGCCACGGTAATTGGAAACACTTTGTGCAACAATAACACGCTGCGGGAGGGGAAGGGGGGGGCTGTTGGATAAGGGAAAACGGGAGGGGGGGTTGCTTTAGAGAATCCTAGGTTGCTTCCCGACGTCTCTTTATTGTAAGAGAGCCGAAGAATGGAATGTTACTTTCTTATCTGCAGCCAGAGGAATACCAGGTCAATTCAGTACTTCACCGAGAGACTTTTAACAGCCCAGCATTTCAGGATATTTTTCTTCTCTTACCTGACTGAGAGGCTTATCTGCACATGGCTATTCGTCCTTAGTACATTAGCCAGAACCTGCCACAGAAAAAGAAAAATGGACAAAAACTATGCCCCTCCCTATTGCTGCTGTCTCCTGCTGCAACTTTTGAAGGAGTTTCCAGACAACGCTAGCCCTGGAAACTGTACTGACAAAGAGATCAGTACAGGTATTCCTCAACTTAACAACAGTTCATTTAGTGACCGTTCAAAGTTACAACAGCACTTTAAAAAGTAAGACCACTTTCACACTTATGACCCTTGCAGCATCCACCTAGTCATGTGATTTACATTTGGATGTTTGTATTTATGATGGTTGCAGTGTCTCGGGGTGTCCCTTCACTTCTGACAAGCAAAGTCAACGGGAAAGCCAGATTCACTTAACGACCATGTTGCTAACTTAACAGCTGCAGTGAATGTGGTCATAAGTTGAGGACTACCTATATTGCAGAAAGAAATACGTAACAGCTACAGCATACAGTGTGGTATTATGAGTACTTTTTGACTTATGACTGGTGGTTTAGTGACTGTTTGAACTTAAGATGGACCCAGAAAAGGGACTTCCAACTTGAATTTGAGGTTTCAATGGCCAGGTCTTCTTCCCATAGGCATGTGACTTTAATTTATGACATTTTATCAGAAACTACCATTTACTTTTGGTTTCTGGTAAACAATGTCCTATATTGAACAGTGGATTTGCTTAACAACTGTGATGTTCGCTAAATAACTGCAGCAAAAAAGATCATACAATCAGGTGGGGTCACGTGCTGACCCCCTTAACGATTGCTACAACTACGAACAAAATTTCAGTCATAAATGGAGGACTACCTGTAGTATCCTACTGCACATTTAAAGACTTGGGAAGTTAGTTTACCATCTTCCATAAGCAAGCAGTTCTGTCTATGTCTCTTTGAGGGGTTCTTCTAGAAGAGTGCATAAGGAAACATAAGATTTGCTGTCCCCAATGCTAATCCATGTCCTGTTTCTTCAGAATCATTGCTGAAAGTGACTGAGTTTTCCCATTCAGCACATCACCAGTCAGTGGTAAAATATTTGCTAGTCTGGACAATGTGGCAGGAATACATGGATGGATCTCACTTCAGGACTCTGCCTCTGCCTGTATTCTCTCTAGGCTGATTTTTCTTGCTTTTTCTGGAGCCAGTGTGAGCACTTTTAGGAATGTTGGCAGGGGCGAAGTCAAGATGACAGCTACAATCATGCAGTCAAGACTTGCTATATTTTTTTTAAGAGTATCAATGTGCATAAAATGGGTGGGGCTTCAGTTGCATATATGTGGCTGCCATCTTGGCTTTCTTAATGCACGTAAAAGCGATTGGGGGTTTGATTACATGATTGTTTCCACTGTTTCGATGAACCATGGTGGCGCAATGATTAGAATGCAATACTGCATGCTACTTCTACTGACTGCCAGCTTCCTGCAATTTGTCAGTTCAGATCTCACCAGGCTCAAGGTTGACTCAGCCTTCCATCCTTTCAAGGTGGGTAAAATGAGGACCCAAATTGTTGNCTCCCATAAAGTATGAATAAAGCTTAAATAAATTAACTTTCCCTAATCTGAATACAAAATTTTAAACCTAGTTCTCTATTATCTTCTTTCCTGGCATATATAAAAGAATGAAAGAAAGATGGATGTGTGCGTGTGTGTGTGTGTGTGTGTACGTCCGTGTCCTATAATCAATTTCCCTTCAGGATCAAGGACTACCTATATCCATAATTTGACTCTGGGTCCAGTTCAAACACTGAATTTCAGACCTTAATTTACAGATTCCTGTTTGCTATTTAATTTCTTTATTTTTTTTTATGCCTGGCACATGAGGTCAACACACAAACCCTGCTGTTTAAATAAGAATAGTCAACCAGCATCTATATAAATAGTCCTCCAAAAGTTGCTGAATTCCCATAATTTCTCACAACTGATTGTGCTAGCTAAGCTGATGGAAGCTAAATATCTGTAGGACAATATATGGTTTATCCTGCCAAAGACAATACTGTGTGCAAAGCACTTCAGAATGCATTGACCATATACAAAGCAGTTCAGCACTTGGCAGTAAAGAAGGCGGTACTCAAAACCTCTTGACAATTTTTTTTAAAGCCCTTTTAACCACTTTTATACCCTCCAGTATCCCTTCTGTATCCATATTTATTTCACTCATATTGGTCTGAAACTTGATGGAAGAAACATTTGGGAAAAACATTTCTCTGTGAAGAACAGCTGTGATGGAATGGAATAGACATCCTGTTACATTATGCTGTGGAGAAAATAAATGAAGTTATGTGGTTTGGCTCTGAATATATGAAATAAGGGTCACATTTTATATTTGTGAGGTATCTGAGATCAGAACTTCCAGGATAATTCTCTGAGACTAAAAACATCTGTGAGAAGATTGATTTAGATTAGGACTTTTTCTGTGAAAAGTGGGAGAAAGAGGTGTTTTTCCTAACTAGTTTATGGCCTGCCCCTCAAATGTTATTAATAATCAATCAGAAAAAAATGGATACCTCTATTGTATGTTCTGTGATGAAATAGAGATCTGTCACAACTTACTGGATAATATACTTATTAGTTGCTAAGCTGCCACTGTATTTGCTTTTTTTGCTTCCATACTTAATAGCATACAGGAGATTCTGATTAGGGAAGATGAGTGGAGAGAGTATTTATTATGTTGTCTCTTCTTGTATGATAGGAATTCTGTATAACATCATTAAAAATCACCCAATCCACCATCATTTTTTTTCATTAAAAAAAGAAAAGACACTGAAAAACTACGAACTGCCAATGTCACAGCTTGTTCTACTCAAGTTCTCCTGCAAAAACACTACTTTCTTACAAATGTAAAAATGTATACAAATTTCGTATTTTGCATTATCTGGGATGGCCCATTCAATCCCTTAATGGTGCTGCTGTCAGGAAACCAGATGGGGACAAATCACGTGGCCATCTTTATCCATCTCACAAGTGTCTCTAAAGATGGACTTTTCTGACCCAATTTTCCGAAAATATCAAACATTCAAGATGCAAATAAATATGGTATCCTAGAATGACCATTTTCTTCAAGCTGTAGATCAAGAATACACTGTCAGAATTCCCAAGTATTGATCATGCTGTGTGGAAATTTATTGAGTCTGTCAAGCATGGAAAAAGCTGCTATAGAAAGTTCATGCTTGGTATAGCCCTGCATAACTTTTTGAGCCAAAAGCATTCAGAAGTGGCAGCCAAAATTGGGTTAGGGAAGCCCATGCCATTTTTTTTCAAAGTATTTAATTAGCAAAAACCAGACAGTCGCATGGAAACTGTTAATCTGCAGTTTTAATAGAACATGGATTTATAGCTTTAGTTATTATGTCAAGCTGACTAGATCAAGGCCACAAAAGGAGTACAGGTAGTCCTCGACTTACAACATTTCATTTAGTGACCATTCACTAAAATGACTTGTGACCATTTTTCACTTATGACCATCACAGCATTCCCCATGGTCCTGTGATCAAAATTTGGAAGCTGGGCAACTGGTTCATACTTGCACTGTCCCTGGGTCATTTGAACAACTTTTACAACTTTTTGACAAGCAAAGTCAATGGGGAAACCTGATTCACTTAACAACGGTGGCAAGAAAGGTCGTAAACTGGGGCAAAATTCATTTGACAACTGTCTCACTTAGCAATAGAAAATCTGGCCTCAATTGTGGTGCTAGTAGAGGACTATCTGTAATCAGAACTTGGCAGTGATTGGAACTCAAGTCTTCCTGGGTTCTAGTCCAGCACCGGAACAGGTCTAACGCAGGCCTGAAATAAACTGCGAGTTTTGATCCGGAGCTAGTAAATTAATTACAGATTAACCACAGCCAAACTTACCGCGGCTTGCTGGAAAGCCCCCTTGGTGTAAGTGCCGCCCCCTCGGTAGCCGATGGCCGGGATTTCACGGCTGAGTAGGGCGCACTTGTGCTGCCGCTGCTGCGCCCGCGTGGGAGGCGAGATGTAGTCCACGCGTGGCACCACGTTGTTCTTGGAGGAGAAGGTCACGATGGCCACCCGCGTGGCCGTCGGCACGACCGGGAAGTCGGAGAGCAGCTTCTTGACGAAGCGCAGCTCGCTGAGAAAGTTAGTCTGGCCCACGCTCGACGACTCGTCCACCAAGAAGACCAGTTC